CATAATTTTAAATTCAGATTGAAATCTAATTATGATCTGATCTTATTAAAATGCGAATTTATAGAACCTTTCAAAACGCGGAGAGATAACGAAGCAACGAATTAAAAATTGTGTCACGAAAGGAACCTATGAGTTTACGAACTCGGAATCTGCAGAACAAAGGTGCACGGCGAAGTTATCATACGTGGCCAGCACGCCTGATAAAACCTTGAACACGTACAGGTAAAGTGATTTATGCCAAATTGATTTTTTTATTTGTTTATTTATTTTTAAAATGTTTTAAAGATGTTAATCTTTATAAATAGTTTTGCGGACTTGCAAGATTTGAGGGGACGCGCCCTATTGATCGCGAAGTCGCCTGTTACATCAAAAATTTCCGAAGACGGGGACAATGGAGTCGATGAGATTACTTCGGATGATATGAATGAATTTGTCATTCAGGTTGACCTCGCTCAGCAGATCATTAACGTAGCGTCAATTCTAATAGAAAGACATTTTACATATCGAAAATTTAATGTCACAACTTCTTCTACAAAGGATATGGAAGATTTGCATAAAATGCTGGCAGCAGATCTGGAGGAATGGGAAAGAATCGTGGACACAGCACAGCAAGATCATTATTACTTGACCTTTTATCCTGCACATTATGTCCTAAACTTTTATGATTACTTCTTTTTCAAAGAAAATGACTCTAATCGATTGGATGTTATTAAGAGTAAGTGTGAAAAGCTTTTGAGGTTTGTGAGTGATGAAGCCGAGCTACCGACTCCCGGGGAGTTAAATAAATACGTCTCCCGCGATGAAAATTTTCTGGAGATTTTACGAATGATTGGCAACATTTTGCACCATATTTTTGACAATGTTTCAAAGCGAAGACGGCCAATCACAAGGAAGGTCGAACGGATTACTTCTAATGTGGTGAAACCGGGTCATCTTTTTGTTGCATCATGTAACAATAAGTTATGCGTACCCAATATCATCATGAGTTTATTCTCGAACTATGGATACTACCCAGAACCTTGGCATCTTTTGATATGCAAAGCTTCAACTAAACTGGAGGAGTTAATAACTTTCACCA